TTTTTTATGGGGTTTTGTAAAGGACCCCTTTGATGCAGATAAAACTTCCACTATTGAGAACCTAAAAATCCAACATTCGTAAAAATAATGGCAGAGATAGCGCCCAATTTGTGTGTTTAGTCGATTTTTTATCCTCAGAGAAAATTTAATTTGTAAAACCAGAGCAATGAGCGGACCTTAAAATAGTTTGTTCTAAATATTTTTTTCTAATAACAAATCGAGGTCTGGAACAAATCGAGGTCTTGGATACGAAAGATATGGCGTGACCAATTATACATACTGACATAGCTTCATATCATGAGGAATTCTTTAATAGAACATTTCGTCCTTTGAACTCGATTTTAAGTGTGTCTTTTTTGTCCTAAATTTTTTGAACCGGACTCTAATCATCACAACATAAGATTTGTCTTCCACGCAATATTGTGAAAAAATTGTGCTCATTTCCTATATCTACGCTTCTTATCATGGCCAACAAATGAAATCACTCGCCTACAGTGAGTCGGTTCATATACATATATAAAGAAAATCCATAATTTCGTCCGTTTGAATATCAAAAATTATTTTAGATCTATGTAGGTCTTATAAATAGCTTGTATATACCCAAATTGGTTTAAGGTATCATATAGTCGACTACGTCCGATTTTTTGTCCTTACCTAACTATTTTTTTCTATTCCAGAAAAAGTTCGACATTTGAATCGCTACGACCCAATATACATTAACCATGAAGTTCTATACAATAATTCGCATACCATTAAATATAAAAGATGAGTAAAAACTTTGTTAATGTTTGGAAAAATATCTCTCCACAACCGCCACATCTGATGCATTATTCTAAAAACTCATATTTTGTGGTAAATGACTAATTTTTCGTTCATAAAGATGCAAAATTGTTCTGCTCGGTGCACTGCTGTTGTGTACGATTTTGTGTTGTGAGTGCAGTAAGAAGGACAAGGCAGGGCTGCTGCAGCTGTGAGTTGCCAAGTTCTGGCAACTCTTTATGCAGCAGTCAGAAGCTATTCGTTGTACTCTGGTCACAGTTGTCTTTTGGCCAATGGAATAGTTTCGATGGTATCAGATTGTTGTTTGGACGTCGAAGTATTTGCTGTTGCTGTTATTCTTATATAAAGTTATTATAGTTTAATGTATTGTATTTATAATTTGAAAAGTTGAACGTTAGTTGTTTTTTGTGTGTATATTTGATATTAATTAATGCGATAGGAAATGTGAAGTAAGTGCATTGGCAGTATTTATATACCTATATGACCAATAAGTAATATTTCATTTTCAGATGTCTTTTTGGCCAGAGGAGAGTAAGAATTATTATGCAGCATCCAAGAAGGTCATAAACTGAGTATTAAATCAGAGTTTTACACCTTCATATATAAAACACAGTTTAAGACAAAAGTGGACCAACCGGTCCACTTTCTTCCCCGCCAATGATCACATTTTTTCCTTTTTCCAAAACAAGGCGATGATCATATCAAATAAGGATATCAGATATCTAGTAGAAAACCAAGACAGGAAACTTAAATGGAATTACCACATAGTTGACAAGGCCCACAGATGCTGGCAATTTTGCAGAAAAGCCATAGACTCTAAAATGGTTTCAATCCAAAGATTAAACCCTGGATCTATAAAAGCGTTATTCTAACAATTTTAACATATGATGGATGGTTGGATGGATGGATACCGCACAAAATATACAGCAAAACCAGTAAGGGGCCGACTATATGATACCCTTCACCACTTTGTATATATATATATATATGTCAATCGAAAAAAGATTGACATAAAATTGCACGAAGGATATATAAGAAGTTTGGTGCACCGTTTCGTTTAAATCGGACGAAAATATATATGGGAGCTATATCTAAAAATGAACCGATTTTCTCGAAACTTAGCACACATCATTATAGACTCAATTCAATGCGCTATGTCAATTTCATGCATATCGAAAGACATTTTGGGACTTTGGTGTACCATTTACCTTAAATCGGACGAAAATATATATGGCAGCTATATCTAAATCTGAACCGATTTCCACGAAACTTAGCTGACATCATTCATAGTATGCTATGCCAAATTTCGTGCAAATTGAAAGATATTTAGGGACTTTGGTGTACCAAAGTCTATTACTGAACCGATTTTCACGAAACTTAACATATATCATTCTAGATATAATTCAGCGTCCTATACAAATTCCGTGCAAATCGAAATATATATAGGGACTTTGGTGCAAAAATTACATTAAATCGGACGAAAATATATATGGGAGCTATATCTAAATCTGAACCGATTTTCACGAAACTTAAAACACATAATTCCAGACTTAATTCAATACGCTGTACCAAATTTCGTGCATATCGAAATATATATAGGGACTTATGCGCACCATTTACCTTAAATCGGACGAAACTATATATATGGGAGCTATATGTAAATCTGAACCGATATTAAAGAAACTTAACACACATCATTCCAGACTTAATTTAGTGCGCTATACCCAATTTCGTGCAAATCGAAAGATATGTAGGGACTTTGGTTAACCATTTACATTAAATCGGACGAAAATATATATGGGAGCTATATCTAAATCTGAACCGACATTCACGAAACTTAACCGACATCATTCTAGACTTAATTTAGTGCGCTATACCAAATTTCGTGCAAATCGAAAGACATGTAGGGACTTTGGTTAACCATTTACATTACATCGGACGAAAATATATATGGGAGCTAAATCTGAACCGATTTCCACGAAACTTAGCACACATCGTTCTAGACTTAAAATAGTACGCTATGCCAAATTTCGTGCAAATCGGAATAATATAGGGACATTGGTGCATAATTTACCTTAAATCGCACGAAATTTTATATTGAGGAGCTAACAAAAGGGAAAACAGCAGACTGAAAGGAATACCTTAGCCTTCGGGCTCATATACACAAAATTGTATGCGCCGTAAACAGCAGGTGTAGATATTGCTAGGAAGATAAGCAAACATTGGAACATTTCCTATGACATTATCCAGTTGTTTGAAACCTTAAACCCATTCCTGACACGCCGGGGTGGAGGAGTTTTATCCACAATTTAATGGTGATCTCTTCGGATCAGTCACATTTACCGTCCTATCATCCTTTTACTAGGGTTCGAAAGCGACTTAACGGATGTCCAATGTGTACTCACCGGTTCTAATGGGATACCACTTCAGATTCTCCAACATTTATTTCGCTTATGATCCAAGATTAATCCACTGACCCCCAACGTGAGTTCCCTGACCCAGGTATCGGCTCCCTGAATTTCCTTTCAGCGTAAAAAGGAATGACATTTTTTTTTAAACGATGTTTGGTGAACTCTCTGAAACCCTGGTAGTTAACTTTCCTATGCTTAAGGATAGTGCGGAGTCTAGTCAAATACTCAACTCCTGGCACATCCAGCCGTTTCAAAATTACTATCCAAAAGGATGACATTTGCAACGTCATCCGCCTCCTCGACGGGAAGAGACCTTATACGACGTAGCATTATTCGCTTCGCCCTGTCGTTGTCGGGATGCTCCGTATAAAATAACAGACGCATCTCTTGCGATCAGTCACAGTTTCGTCGTTAAATATCTGGTTCTTACCAGGGTTCGAGAGCGACTTAGCCAAAATTTACTCACACCGATACCAATGTTGCAGCACTTCAAATGCTCGCACTTTCGTTATCGGTATGCTATCGGTTAAAATAACTATTAAAATACTATCGGTTAAAAGCACAGATGTATCTCTTGCAATAAGTCAGTCACAGTTTCGAGAGCCACTTAGCCAACGTTTACTCACACCGATTCTAATGTTGCAGAACTTCAGATTCCGTTTATACTCCGCGACTAATCTGCTGAACTAGAGTGTGAGTTCTCTGACCCTGGGACTGGCTCCAGCTGCAAAGTTGTCCATGAAATTCCTTTCTACTACCCATGTATCATAAGGAATGGAAAATTATCTGAACAATTGCTGAAACCCTGGCAGTTGGTTTTCTATAGTTAAAGATGGAGATGAAATCAGCCGGTTTTGTGATCTAGATAATTATGGGGAGGTAGTTTGATCCAAGTGAAATGACTGGCCACCAGGGTCCCGTCACATAGTACCCGAAGAACATCTCAATGCTGTATTTTAGAATTTACACTAAGTTTGGTTTAAGTCTTCTGATTCAGAAAATCAACAATCTTGTTCATTTCCCCTCGAAGACCGTTATAATTAAATTGCAGAAGTGATACATACTCAGGAATAGGAAAAGCAAAGTGTGAAGATACATGTTGCAGATTGAGCTGCTGTTGAGTTGTATTCTGACGAAGAAGATGGCCTTATGGACGATGACTTAGACTGTACACAGAAAAAAAATGTAATGAATATTTTCCTAATTTCATTCATAGTTTATTTTTTCCATGTGGAAGATGTACCTCGCTTAGAATAAGAATAAAAATGTTTTCCAAAAACTGTAAACTTTTCATTAATATCAAAACTATTTTCTTACTTTGATCTACATATTTTCCTCTCTCTCTATTTCTATATTTTTGACCAAAAACAAATGTATTCCTCTCAAAGAAAAAACACCACCACCACTCATTGTTCGGCAGAGTTTTGTTTTGGTTACGTCCTCACCACTCCCCCACACTTGGTGGTTGTTACTCTGCATTGTGTTATAAAATTCGCATATGCATTTTCCAAATTATTTCGATATAAAATACCAAAAGCCATATATCAAACAAGGTTTAGTGTCGAGCAACAAGCTCGTAAAGTAGGTAAATAAAAAGAAACCAGACGAAACTTAAAGTTGTATGAATTGTAATTCAGAAATCCGGGCATTGGCAACGCTTTCGGAACACTATTTGAATTATTTTTTATTTTTTTTGTAAAACGCCTTTTTTATTGAAAAAATAAATTCTATTCGCAATATTCAAATGTATATTTTATTTATTTACTTTATGTTTAAATATTAAAATATACAGATTAAAAATTCTAAATCTTATTTACGATTACAAGTTCCCAGCAACCACTGGCACTCATTCGATTCGAACGTATAAGTGCCACGTTCATATGCTCTCACTGTACGCCGTTCACCATCGTGTTTCTCATCTGTCGAACACATAATATAATTGCCCTGATAGAAAACAACACGATCGTTATCAATAAGTTCAACATTCCAAATAGAGTTCATTGGTCCGATTGCTTGGGGTTCCCAACCGGCAATCATTTTATCCTCTTTTCTCATATAATAAATGACATCATATTCCGTGCCCTTCAGCTGAACTAATAAATCACTGGTATCCGTTCGATTCCAATCGTGGGGCATGGCCTTGATATGACCAGTTATGTCTATACTACGCTTATCATGCCACAACCAAATATAACGACTAAATGAATCCAAGTTTCTCTGACCCATTGCCGTATAAATATATTCGGAATATTTTGAATTCATTAGACAAAAGTGTTCATGAAATAATAAGTATTGCATGTTTCTTAATAACTGCAATATGGCCAAATCGATTTTTTGTTTCAAATTTCCACTGAGGCTCGGGTAAAAGGGCGACTGTTTAAATTTGTATAGATTCTTGCCAAAGACACGTTGAAACTCCATATCAGCTGCCTGTTGACGTTTGAGGGCATTATGGAAAAATGTCAATTGAAATTGCACCATTAATTCAAAGGACTTTAGGTTATCGGCTCGATATATGGACCATAATAAACTGGACATTTGTGATGGTGTTTTACAGCCAAATACCTCCGTCATTGCCTCGTGCACAATGTCATCGACCAATTGCGCGTCATAACGTTCCAAAATCATATCGATTTGTGTCTGAATTTCGCGTTTAATTGATTTCGTATCACCCGAACACAAGGTGCTTGCCAACGTTTGGCCATTATCGGTTTTCAGCCGTCGCTGCAGACGATTCTTGAGCATCGTTAAGATTTCCAATTCACGTTGAACCTTTTCATATAAAGCTGTGGTTTCTTCAATATTATTTCCATAGTCAATTTCCATTTTATTCGCCGTACTAAGTAGATCGCCTTCATAGTTTTCAACACCGCATGAAATGCTGATACTTAGCGCGATTATTGCAATAGTTATTATTTCTTTCGCGTCTAGTATTGTCATTTTGAATTGTAAATTTAAACTGATTAGTTTAGGGGGATTGTAGCTACTATTTTAATAGATTTTTCCAATAGGAAATTCCTATCTCTATGTGGTATTGCGATTATCAGTTATTACAATCGATCTTCGGGTTGCATCGAATGCAATCTAAACATTGAAGATTATTGTTACGTTGACGCCTTGCAATTTATATTGAATGTGAGCATGGCTCTGTTTATTTTAAATATGATAACGTTGGGAAATTATGACCTTGACCTTGGAGAAATATTATTTTAACATCCTCATTCTAAATAAGTATTGGACGCAGTTATACGAGTATAGCTTAAAAAGTATTGTAACAATTAATAATTTTACATAAAAAGTTTTTACCCTACACCACACCGTGGTACAGGTGAAAATCGGTACATACTTAGATAAAGCTTCCATATATACATTGAATGGAATGCCCGAAAATGTCGACGATTTGTATAGGAGGTACCAGAAGGAGAGGACGAATGGATGTCATATGCGGGCTTGATTTAGATTTGGCAAAGATACCAGGTTGTGCCAAGCTTGGATAAAATCGGACATTCCATTCACTGATATTGGATTTATAAATATAAAAAATTTGGACCCTTTGTGGGGGAGATAACAGAAGGAGTGGACCGATGAGTCCCATCATCAAACTTGATCTAGTCTTAGTAAAGGTCATAGGTAGTGCAAAGTTTGGTTCAAATCGGACATTCCATTCGCCTGATATTGGATTTATAAATATAGAAAATTTGGACCCTTTGTGGGGGAAGCACCAAAAGGAGTTAACCGATATTCCACATCTTCGAGCTTAAGAGCACCCCCCTCCCCATTCTCAATTTTTTTATTTTTAAGATTTTAAATGGGCTGGTAAATGAATACGAATGCTTGTTAAGGTTTGTAACTGTGCACATATATATTTGAAGATTTAAAAAGGAAGAAAACATTTTGTTGTTGTTTTTTGTGATCAAAGAAAAGTCCTTATTTTTGATGGCGGGCATGATAACTCCTCACTGGAACATCGGAATCCGAAAATTCCAACGGTGTTAGAAATGTCTGGCTCTCGTATGACTTCGCTCAAAAATTAACAAAATGGTGGACCTTTGAAAAAAATATTTTTGGAAAATCTCTATCCCAGTTCATACGATTGCTATACACTCACAGAGAAACGTCCCAAAATTTGAAATCGATTGGGTTATTAGTTTTTGAGTTATCTCAAAAACGCTGTTTGGAGAAAAACGCGATTAAAGTTTGAGAAGCCCTCTTGTTGTCACTTGATGCTAATGCAATAAATCGGCTATATCTTCAAAAATTGTTGAGATTTTCACTTGAAAATGTATAGGAAAATTCTTGAATTAGTGTAGGTTCGAATTAAGGGGACCCCCCATTCTCGGGGTCAAAAATTTTGTTGATATAATTCGAATCTACACTAATTATAGAATGTGCCTACAAAATTTCAAATGAAAATCTCAAGAACTCTTGGAGATATAGCCGATTTATTGTGTCAGCATCAAGTGACGGCTGAAGGGCTTCTCAAACTTTAAACGCGTTTTACTATAAACATTTTTTTGCGAATGGCGGGCACGATAACTCAAAAACTCAAAATAACCCAATCGATTTCAAACTTGTACACGTTTCTCTGTGAGTGTATAGCTATCGTATGAACTAGGATGAAGCCAATCGGTGAAGATCTTCCTTATTTTTTGACTTGGGTTTTGGTAAAAAATCGGCGATTTTCCAAAAATATTTTTTCAAAGGTCCACCATTTTGTTAATTTTAGAGCGAAGTCAATAATCCTAGTTCATACGAGAGCCAGACATGTACTCTTTCTAACACCGTTGGAATTTTCGGATTCCGATGTTCCAGTGAGGGGTTATCATGCCCGCCATCAAAAATAAGGACTTTTCTTTAATTACAAAAAACAACAACAAAACAACAACAAAAATTTTTTGTAAATTATTTTTCTTCTATTTTAAATCTTCAGTTAGATATGTGTAAAGCATTGGTATTGATTTACCAGCCCATTGAAAATCTTGAAAAATTAAAATCGTGAAAGGGGGGGTTCCCTTAAATCGAAATACAAAATTAATTTTTTTGAAACCGACAATGGGTGGGGTCTCCTTAAACTAAGCTTGAAAGAAATATTAAGATGTGCAAAGTTTGGATGAAATCGAGTATTCCCTTTGAGAGATATCGTCATTAGGGGAATTTTTGACCCGAACCGAACCTACATGCAAAATTTCCTGACAATTGGTCCATACATCTGGCCTATATTGCATTTACAAATGCGATAATGGACAGAAGGGTGGATAGACACACATGTTTACATCGATTCAGCTAGCTAAGATCGCTATACTAAAAGGTTAGTCTAAGGCCAATATTTCGAGGCGTTACAAACTCCATGCAAAGCTATAACCCCCATACCACATAGTTGAGTGGGGTATAACAAAAAAATAAAAACGAGTTTTTGGTCTGCTTCAAAATCAACGCTCAAATGCTGCCTTTCTGCCTATTGATGAATCAACAATTTGGTCAACTATTTTCGCAATAAACTCGAAAAATAAACCTGAAGCGTTGTTTGTGCGAGTCAGCTTCCCTGTATATCAACGAAATGTTTAAATATTATATACATAAATATGTTATGGGCTATTTCCACAAACACCGAAAATATACGTACATACCAAATGTTGTAATAAAAACAAAAAAATAAAACAGGTCGCTTTAAATAGAAATCCCAGCATCTCATTCGTATTCAATTCAGCGGAATTAGTCAGCGTGGCCAGATCAACAATTTTCTTAGTTTCAATATTAATGCTAAAGTGGGCCACACCTCAAACATGTGCGTTCGATCGGTGTGAAGCTCCTAGCCCACACACGTCAAACGGATCCACTAAACTCCATTTCATATTTATTTTTGAAGATAGACCGCGATAGTGATGACGGAAAAAAGACGAAATATTTTTATTTAATATAAATGTATTAAATACTTTTATTTTATTCCGGGAAAAAACATTATTTATTATTTGCCACACAGTAGAATATGTGTAAAAAACATCAAAAAATCTTACATGTGCGCGTCGCACAACGAAAAATTAAAAATTTTTAATTTCTTTCGATCGGTGTGCGCACCGGCAAATTGGTGTGAACACCGTACCACACACGTCAAACATTGCTTCGATTCACACCGATCGAACGCACATGTTTGACGTGTGTGGGCCACTTAAGTGGAATTGCTTGTGTGATTTGTGGAGAATTGGATCGGCTGACTATTGCACATTAAACCGAAACTAAGGCATGGAATACTCTTGCCAAGACAACAATACTCTATGAAAATCATCTACAACAACAACAACATCTGGCTGTATTAAAAAATCGCCTACAAGATGAATTGAAAACCGAATATAGTCTACTGCTAAGCAGTACCATCTGTTCGGGAGAATTTCGATTAATCCGCGACGAAATACAATTGCAAATCGAACGAATGCTTGAATACTACGAGGAACAGCTGATTGATGAAATTCTAAGTGCTACCCTGACCGAACTGTATAAATGTAAATCTTCCAATGTCATCAGAACTAAATTTCCGTCCTCTAGTGTGGTCATGTTAAAACTAAACAATACAACAATAAATAGAGCTCGGTAAAGTTTAATTATAACTCTTGCATCCTGGTAAATACCGGTCAGACTATCACCCAAAAGTCAGACCGATCTTCACCAAAAAATTCATGCTTATTTATTGATCAGACCCTTTTCGCTGTGTAAAATTTCTTCATTATAGGGAACATACCAAAAGTGGACACATTCTACAAGCCGATTTATGTAAACCATTATGTGCACCAAATACAAATTTCAGCAATTTTTAGTGGGGTTTTTACCAAAAAAAATCTGAAAGCTTCAAAACGTGGACTGATACTGATAACGCATGGTAGAGTATACAATCCTCAAACTACTGTAATTTAGATTACAAAGTTATATGAGGTTATGCCTAAAGGGGGACCAATATTGATTACATAGTGTAGGAAGTATAGAATATTTGTGGATATCATTAAATGAGGGCTACGCCTAATTAATGTATATGTCAATTTTGAACCCAATATTTTAATTTTGTATCTTAATTCTTTCCTTCAGGAGGTATCACTATATGGAGGAGATGACTAATTGCCTGCCGATATATTTCATTTTTGCCAGGTTTGAGTTTTTTTTTATCACGATATCTTTGGAAGGCGGAATGATTACAACAAATGGATAAAACGTCTTTGTAGGGTAAAAACTGACTATTTCCAGTAACGACTACCATGCGGGGGTATGGCAGAATAGAATGGGGGACAACCCCAACACACGGAACAAATCAGATAACTATTTTAATATAAAAAGGGGGTTATATGGAGACTACCTCTAAAAGGGAGTGAATATAAACAATTTTCGGTAGGAAGATTTGTTACCATATACGACTACAAAATACCAAATTACAGCGAATTCGGTTGAAAAACGCGCTCAAGAACCCCAAAATACCAAAAATGGGGGGTACCCTTATATGGGGGCTACCCGAAAAAATGGGCCTATATTTATAATTTTTAGTGGAGAAATTTGCTACCAGAAAAAGTGGACCGATATTTATAATTTTAAGTGGAGAAATTTGGTATCCAATAAGAACCCATTGTACCAAATTTCAGTTAATTGGGGGCTTGAAAAAATGGACCTATATTTATAATTTCCCAAAAGAGATTTGCCGAAATCCGTAGTACCAAATTTCAGCGAATTCGGTGGAAAATCCGGTCAAAACCCCCAAAAAATCAAAATTGATTTGCTACCCAATAAGAACTCAAACTACTAAATTACAGCCAATTCGGTGGAAATATCCGGTCAAAACCCCCCAACAA